CTTTAACATTAAATTAAAATTCATTCTATCTATTAAATCTCTTTTTCTGATACAGCAAAAAGGCAGCAAAAGGTACGTATCATCAACGTGTAATACGCTGTTTCATACTTTCCTTGGCTCCAGTTCTTCATCGTTCAAAATGTCACGTTTCTAAAATTACCCGCAGCCAGTTGACGTACTGCGCTTATAATCAACTCGAGTTATTAAAGAGATCGTGTTAACTTCCAACGCGAACTCAAAAATTAACTAGCTTTCATGGGACTCTTTTATACACAACTTCTATCTATGGAAACCTCAATTTACTGTGGCAGTAATACCTCAATACGAATGAAATTAGAGTCTCCCTTTAGTGTCAAAGGGTGTTTTAATCCTTAATGCTTTCTAATTTTAATTTAGTTCTCCATTGACAATATTTTCAACTCATGAAACAATTATTGTTATTAACATTACGAGCCTAATCAATTATAATTAAAAAGTATTGTAGACTATTGTATAGCGACTTGAGATTTCAGTAGTATTAGAACGCTTGGACGAAACACGGAACACCGTTGAATCCGTTTTTCGTCAGCCAGAGAAGATTTCCAAGCCGGATGGTAGACACGGCGAGGAGGTCGATAGGAAGGAGAGAGGAGGGGCCATTGGCCTGGCCAGGGATCCTAAATATGCAAATGAATTGAAGATACAACCGGGCAAGTATGAAGACGAAAAGGTAGCATACCATGCGATGTGCGAATCTGATCGTGCGTATACACGTGGCTTTCCCTGTCCTCTCCTTGCGACCCTCGTGCTATTTTCATTCAGCAACTGATCACGCTGTTATAGATTATTCATTGCAAAATGATACCAATTTTCAATATACTTTGATTAGCGTCAGTACGCAGCAGAGATGATATTCAGCTCGTATTATTTGTTCGATACAACGTTCCTTTATTTCTGAATTCAATCTAGAGGTGCATAATTAAATGAAATTATGCACCTGATTAAAAAATCAACTTGATACTGATTAACTGCTCTCTCGAACTTTATATCAATCTCTATTATACGACACTGTTCTGATCGAACACATTATAATTATGAATTAATTTAAATAAATTATTTTAGAATATTTAAAAAAAAAAATTTGGTAAGTGTCGCCAAAGGACGACAGTGCCTTACCAGTTTATGTGTGTTTCCATCCTTGTCTAGGGGAGTGCTAAACGTCTCTCCTTTCATACTACACAACTAGATGGCACATTCCGCGCTCTTATATAGTAACGTAGCTCGTGTTCGACCACTTGCGAGAAAGCAGTTTTTCGTAAATAACTCGAAAATGGTTAACAGAATCGAAATAATGTAATAACATATTTTATTCGACATATCAAAAT